AGAGCTATTCAAGGTAGCGGAAGCAAGGGACTTAACAAATCTGAGTCATACTCTACTCTGAACTCGAAGATTGAGAACATGACAGACTTGGTGATAAAAAGCATGACACAACAAAACTGAGTGGGAGCATCTGCGAGTAAAGCTAATGTTAGCCACATCCAAGGGATTTCTTGTTCTTTCTGCGAATGAGATCATCACTATAATAATTGCCCTGGCAATCCAGAGTTGGTGTACTATTTAGGGAATCCATATAACAGTAGAAATAACCCATACTCCAATACGTACAACCCCGGCTGGAGAAATCACTCCAACTTTAGTTAGAGTGGAAATCAAAGAGGAAATACTACGGTACATCAAATGCTTCAGCTATCAGCAGAAAAGGAGTTATCCCCCAGGTTTTGTGAATCAAGGTTAGATGGTAGCGCAGAACCCTTCAGAAGGATCGTTTGCACTGTTAGAAAAAGCTCATGAAGCAGTACATGGCAAATAATGACGTCGCTGTGCAAAGCTAGGCCACATCACTAAGAAACCTAGAGTTGCAAGTAGGCCAGTTAGCATCCGATTTGAAAAGCAGACCTTACAGAGCATTGCCTAACTATACTGAAGTGCTAAAGAGAGATGGTAAGGAGCAATGTAAGGCTCTCACACTGAGCGAGCCTACTCAGGTAGAACAAGGAGAATCTCAGCCAACAAAAACTATTGAGCCCACCGTGCAAATTGTTGAGCAACCAAGGGAAGTTAAGAATACTTCTAGTGAGGAGGTCATCCCAGTGAATATTGAAGCAGCTAATGTAGGATCAACGCAGACTAGAGTGCTCGAGAAAAGAAAGCAGGCAGAGGATGATGATGCTCCAGCAGAATACAGACCAGCACCACCATATCCGAAGCGGTTGCAGAAGAAAGAACAGAATGTTCAGTTTAAGAAATTCTTAGATGTGCTGAAGCAACTGCATGTTAACATACCTTTGGTGGAAGCTCTAGAGCAAATGCCAAATTATTTGAGGTTCCTAAAAGAGATACTTACAAAGAAGAGAAACCTAGGATAGTATGAAACTGTGACAATGACTAAGGCCTGCTGCAATATCTTCACAAGCATAATTCCAGCAAAGATGAAGGATCTGGGAGCTTCACCATACCTATTTCCATTGGATGACAGAAAATAGGGCTTGCACTATGTGATATGGGAGCCAACATCAACCTTATGCCTCTATCTATTTACAACAAGCTAAGAATAGGAGAAGCAAGACCCACACAGTTACCTTGCAGCTCGTAGATAGATCCATCACGCACCTAGAAGGAAAAATTGAAGATGTTCTGGTACAAGTAGATAAATTCATTTTCCCTCCTGACTTTATTATTTTGGATTATGATGCAGATAAGAAGGTCCCTATCATCCTTGGGAGGCCATTCCTTACAATTAGAAGAGCATTGGTGGACGTCCACAAAGGGAAGTTGACAATGCGTGTTCAAGATCAGGAAGTAAAATTCTCAGTGTATGATTCAATAAAATTCCCTGCTGAATCAGAAGAGTTCTTAGTACTAAAGATTCTAGATGAAGCATTAATGGAAGAGTTGGAAGCAGAAGCCATGCTAGAGCATCTGGAAGTTGTCGACTCTGGAAGTGATGCTGATGATGTAGAGGAGAACCCTGAGGTTATCTACCTAGACAGTATGAAGAACAGTGAAACGTCAACTAAGCACATGCACAAGTCCTTAGACCTCGCAAAACGTGAGCATAAATTGTTGAAGCCATCTATAGAAGAGTCGCAAGTCCTGGAACTTAAGGCATTGCCCCAGAATCTGAAGTATGCCTACCTGGGTTCGCCAGAGACATTGCCGATCATCATAGCAGGAACCTATCCATGGAAATGGAACAGATGTTGCTGAGTATGCTGAAAGCCCATCAGAGAGCAATTGGGTAGACTATTGCTGATATCAGGGGAATAAGCCCCAGCTTTTGTATGTATAAGATCGTACTAGAAGAAGCATGCAGAAACTCTATTGAGCACCAGCGTAGACTTAACTGAGCAATGAAGGAAGTAGTGAAGACAGAAATTATAAAGTGGTTAGACGCAGGCATTATATACCTTGTTGGTTACGGTTTAGTACCCTTTGTGCAAGTGTACACAACTGTTGTAGCAAATGATAAAAAGATCGTATCCACAGGGATTGATAACTAAACACTCCAACAATTACTTAAGAAAACGAGCAAATTAACGAAATATGTTTTAGATAAGAAAAACTAAAGAAACTTAAACAAAATAGTGTATACATGATTTGTTGATTAAAAACAAGGCAGAAACAAGCAAAACCAAATCGATTAAAGAAAAATATGCAAACAAGAGGTTAACTATTAATATTTAAAAGGGTAACGGGGAAGAGTTTATGCGATTTTTTCTGGGCTACTCTAATGATGCTGCAGCATTAACGATGTTGATATACTGGCCAAACAGACACAAAATCTTCACAGATTTCCAGATTTTCTACTATTCATGTTTTTAGACAAACTTGACATCATATATACTCAATTTATAACCTTGCTAGGTGAGTCTTATTCCTAAGTACCCATACTCTAAACTCATGTAGATCTAGCACGAGTTGAAGCCAAACACATCCTATTAAAATTTTCCAACAGTTAATAAGAAGATATTCCATATGTTGACCAAACACACTGAAAATAAAACGTTAAAAACAACTTCAACTCAGTATATATATTCATCATTAAAGACAAAGCAAAGTTTATAGCCTAAGAACAAGTTCACAACATCCTCCCCCTTACAAATAAACTTAGGTACTCAACATCATACAAGAAAAGAGAGGAAGAAAATACAAAACCCGTGCACTTAAGAGTACAAAAGAAGAGGAAAATGAATAATAATAGCTGCTCTTCTCTCTTTGTTGTCTTCTTCAACGGTTTCTTGGAAGCTTTGTTTAAGTGAGAGTGAAGTGATGGGATGAAGAGTCTTGGACTATTGTTGGAGGCAACCTTACCTGCAAACTTTTATACCCCTCTTGATTTTAGGGCAACACAAATGATAAAGTGGGTCCCAGCTCAAAATATCAGGTACTTTTTTCGTTTTACTGCAGTAATTTCTTGGATAAAAGCTGTAAATGCAAACTGTGCCTTTTTGATTCTGATGCTGCAGCATTGTTGATGCTGCAACAAAACATTCAAAATTAGATCATTCTTCATAACTCTCAACATTATCATAAAAAATAATGAGGATAGTGAATTCATAACATTTTTTGCACAATATCAGTGTAGATTGGGTGTTAGTGATGTAATCCTTAGCTAATTTATATGGAATTATTGCAAAATAACTCTCTTTTGGAGAGTTATCATACCCCATCTCAGATAGTGAGTAGGTAAGCCAAGTGCAGTATGTGCCTAAGAAAGGAGGCATGGTTGTAATGGAGAATGTGAAGAAGGAGTTGATACCCACGAGAACAAGGACAGGGTGGCGTATATGCATGGACTATCGCAAGCTGAATAGCCACAAAGAATGACCATTTCCCTCTCCCTTTCATTGATCAAATGTTGGATAGGCTGGCAGGGTAGGGGTATTATTGTTTTCTAGACGACTACAGTGGGTATAATCATATTACAATAGCACCTCAAAATCAGTAAAAGACGACATTTACATGCCCCTACGAAACATTTGCTTTCAGACGGATGCCATTCGGGCTTTGCAATGCCCCGCAACATTCCAAAGGTGCATGATGACCATCTTTTCTGACTTAGTAGAATTAGTGGTCAAGGTGTTCATGGACGATTTTTCAGTGTTTGGGAAGTTATTTGTAGAGTGCTTGGAAAATTTGAAGAAGGTGTTGCAAAGATGTGAAGAAACAAATTTAGTTTTAAATTGGGAGAAGTACCACTTCATGGTGCAGGAAGGAATTATGCGAGTCTCCAGCAAAGGCATTGAAGTGGACAAGGCAAAGATAGAGGCAATAGAGAAATTGCCTCACTTGTGAATGTCACGGGCATTCGCAGCTTCTTGGGGCACGATGGGTTTTATCGCAGATTTATTATGGACTTTTCGAAAATCTCTAAATCTCTTTGTTCTTTGCTTGAGAATGATAAAGAATTTAACTTCACATCTGATTGTTTGCAGGCGTTTAAACACTGAAATATGTTCTCACCCGTGCACCAATAATAACAGCACCAGATTAGACGCATCCTTTCGAATTGATGTGCGATGCCAGTGACTATGCTGTGGGAGCAGTCGTTGCTCAACGCAAAGGAAAGTTGTTGCATCCGATTTATTATGCCAGCAAAACTCTTATCGAAGCACAGATCAATTACACCACCACAAAGAAGGAATTATTAGCAGTGATGTTCGCATTTGAAAAGTTCAGAGCATATCTGGTGGCATCCAAGGTAACTGTCCACACAGACCATGCAACATTGAAATATATGCTCAGAAAGAATGACGCTAAGTTGCGGCTGATTTGCTGGATTTTGTTGTTGCAAGAGTTTGACATAGATATCAAAGACAAGAAAGGAACGGAAAATTTGGTTGCTGACCACTTGTCCAGGTTGACTGGTGTAGGAAGCTCCAAGGAAGAATTAGAAATCAGAGGAACATTTCCGGATGAATAGTTGTTAGCTATTGAAATTTTAAATGAGTAGGGGGACGAGCCATGGTTTGCTGATTTGGCCAACTATATTGCCAGTGGGATATTGCCATCTGATATGAACCAAAAACAACTGAAAGAAGTTTATGCATGAGAGCAAATTCTATCTTTGGGATGACCCATTCCTTTATAGGATTTGCTAGGACAAGATGATAAGAAGGTGTATTGCCAATGTTGAAGCACGCCAGGTGCTGATCAAATGCCATTCCGCATCTTATGGTGGGCACTTTGGAGGGTAGCGTACAACAGCAAAAGTCTTTCAGAGCGAATATTTTTGGCCCATAATCTTCAATGACGCATATGAGTTAGTCCAGCATTGCAACGAATTTCAGAGAGTTGGAAACATTTCCAAGAGGTCTGAAATGCCTCTCACCTACATCTTAGAGGTGGAGCTCTTCGATATCTGGGACATGGACTTTATTGGACCATTCCCTCCATCCAATGGGCATCTCTTAATTTTGTTAGTTGTTGACTATGTATCAAAATGGGTCGAGGCAGTAGCATGCCCCAGCAGTAATGCAAAGGTGGTTGCCAAGTTCTTACACAAGAATATATGTACAAGGTTTAGCACACCCAGAGCCGTGATCAGTGACGAAGGCTCCAACTTCATCAACAAAGTTGTGGCATCGCTCCTTGCCAAGTACAACATCAGACATAAGGTATCTACAGCTTACCAGCCCCAATCGAATGGGCAAGTTGAAATATCCAACAGAGAAATAAATAGCAGTTTGGAGAAGGTAGTCAGCATTAATAGAATAGATTAGGCTATAAAGCTGGATGATGCTCTATAGGCCTACCGCATAACGTTCAAAACACCTCTGAGTACTTCTCCGTACAAGTTGGTTTTGGAAAGCCATGCCACCTCCCGTTAGAGCTGGAGCATAAGGCGTTATGGGTCCTCAAGAAGCTAAATCTAGACCATGCTGCAGTAGTGGACTTATGTCGCTTGCAATTGTTGGAGCTTGAGGAGTTAAGACGAGATGTATATGAAAATGCCAAAATATATAAGGAAAAAACAAAGTGATGGCATGATGCGCGAATCCAGCCATGATAGTTTGGAAAAGGCCAACAAATGTTGCTTTACAACTAAAGATTGAAGCTCTTCCCAGGAAAGCTCAGATTCAGATGGTCAGGTTCAGTTTTGGTCTCACATGTATTCTCTCATGGAGCTATTAAGGTGCAAGAAATTGATTCGGGAAGAGAATTTACAATAAACGGATAGAGGCTGAAGCATTTCTATGGCGAGAATGTGGTGAGAGATGTCGAAGCTCACCACTTTGCTATAGATCGAGCACAATCAAAGAAGGAATAGTAGAGCAGGATTCAATGCCAAATTATTTTCCTGCTCCCACATTTTAAATTTGAGTTTTAGATATTTTGTTGGTTTGTTTTTAATTCTTGCAATTTTATTTTGGAAGGGGATAAGGTTTAAATCATGCATAGAATGGTTTACAAGAAAATGCGGGCAGCAGTAACGATGAAGTGATGTCGCTGACGGAGAAAGAGAGAGAGGGCAGGTGGGAGCGTTGAAGCGTGGCAGGCATGCAGGTTTGCATGTAAGGCAAATACGACTACATCACTTAAGGAAAGAGGTGAGTAATTATCATGATTTTGGGGAAGATAAACTAATTATCATGATTTGGGGCTATTTATGATTTTGGGAAGGATTTTCAAATTGAAAATTAAAAATGAAATCGTGGGGAAGATTTGTGTTTAATACAAATCTCATTTTTCCTTTTTAAGACCCACGTTCCCTACACCTTCCTCCCTCATTATGTTCTATAACCGTTCCTTACTCTCCTTTAAGCTTTACCAAAATCCCTTCCTCTCTCCGTGCATGCCAGAAACCCTAGCCTCGCCATGCTTAGAGTCAAACACAAGGCGAATCGAAAGAGGGCATTAAAGCTGGAGCTCTCTGCGAGCGAAGCTCTAGCGAAAAGTTCCAAGAAGCCAGGGAGACGATCATGCCGTCGGAAGCTTCAGGC